CAAAAGTACTGCATAAATTTAATTGCATACATGTAGTTTACAAAATTACTTATAATCGTTTGAGCGGTCAATTAATTGGAGAACGGTCGGTCATTTATTGGGTTTCTTCGGTCAATAATTGGTGATTTTAGTATTTCAAGATTCAAATAACAAAATTAATATAATTTTGTTAATTTTTATTATAAATAGTTATTAATTATTATTAATTAAGTATTTAACTTTAATAAAATCCATTATAAATTGGTTTTAGTAGGTTAATAGATTTTTTATAGCTTAGTACAGAAAAAGAAAACCTTAATCGGTCAATAATTGGTGCATTTACTCTAATGATTTTTCTTAAAATTTTTTTAAAAATTTTAAACAAAATATCAAAAAATTGAAAAGAATTTTTTTTTTTTAAAGGATCAAATTTTCTACAAGAAAGCTCTCATATAATTTTTTGATTTTAATTCAGAATTTTGATTTCTAAAAATTAAACATATAATTTTCTGAATTCTTAATATTTTTTTAAAAAATAAAATTTCTCACAAAAAAAAGTCTATAATTTTTATGAAAATAAAGTTAGCCGACATCTAAAAATTTTTATGATTTTTTTTATTAAAAAATTATTAGAAAAAAATAAAAAAAAAAACATTTTTTAGTTAAAAACTTCAAAAACTATAAGTGCAATTTTTTAGTTACAATTTAATAAATTAAGCAAAATAAAAAAATTAAAAATGTCGACTAACTTTATTATTATATAATTTTTTTGTATTTTTGATATTTAGTCCATGATTTTAATTATTAAAAAAATAAATTTTTAAACTATCTGATAATTATTACTTTCAATTTTACTGCATTAATTTAAACGATTCTGCAACTTTTTGGTATCTAAAAAAAATCTACATGATATTTAAAAAAATTCAAACAATAATTATCAGACCGGTAGAAAAAACAACTTGAATTTTCCAGTTCCTAAAGAGGAAATAAATTTACAACACTCAATTACCGCTAATAATCCCGCCCGCGAATTATATTTAAAAAAAAAAAAAAAGCGCGCAACTGAGTAGAAGAGGCTGCCGCGGAAAATTAAAATGGACTTCTGAATTACAGCTATTGTGATTTAGCATCCAACTTCCCGGCTAATATAAGCTCATCTTTATCCGCTCTTCTTTGTACTTCAGTCTTGGAACTCTTCGCGAGGTAAAGAGTAAGAGATAAAAACAAAAATAAAAATAATCTGCTATGGAGTTTAGAGAGATTATAAAAAGGAAGATTTGCAATAGCCAACCGGATGCACGCAAACTAATTTTCTACCAACAGATTATCAAGCTCATGTACGTCTCACACGCATCACTTTGCCTCGTATGTTATAGTTGCGGGCATGATAACCAATTGCTGTTTGACACGAACAAATCTTCTGACCAAATTTGAATTTTTAAATATTTTTTCTTTTAATTAGCCGCGGAAAATATTAATTATAATTATTAATACTCGGAGGAAGATTTATTCGCAGATTAAGAGGATTGACAATTTTTATTGATGGTCGCGGATGTGAATTAACAGACTTGGAGACTTGCAGGGCCAAACTCTCGTCTGCAGAAGTAGAGACAGAGGACCGAGGGAACATAGCCAGGACTTACGTACTTGTACTGGTGTCGATAAAAGTTATCCTGTCGGTTATTAACGTCCATCATCGCCGACACACATTTCCTCGCTTCTCGCCGTTCCTAATTGTAATCCCTCCGTATCATTTAATCGTTTCAGCAACCGTCTCTTTCCCTTTATATTTTTATTTTCATTTATCGCCTTTCAACACCTATTTTTTTTTTTTTTTTTAACTTATCCAAGTTAATAATATTAATAATAATCACTTGATATTTAATTTAGAATTTTTAATATTTAGTTTTCTTGTCTTAAGGGTTTTTTGAAATTTTAACCAAAAGATTGAAAATATCACAAAATTAATAAGGACCATTTTTGTAAGAAATTAAATTTCCTTAAAAAAAAGTCTTATGATTTTTTGGATTTTTGATAATTAACCTATAATTTTGAATTTTAAATCTAAATAGTGCATTTTTTTTATTTTTTGAGGTATTTTTGAATTTTTGACCAAAATTCTAATATAAAATTGAGATGAAAAATATGTGTTGCAAACTTTTCGTAACATTATTGGTCAAATATATAATAAGCATAAAAATATAATGCAAACTCTATATTCAGGCGCGCGCAATTAAATTCTAGTGTCAAAAATTTGATAAAATTGATAAGGACCTAATTTATAGAAAATTGAATTTTTTTCAAAAAAATTCTTATAATTTTTTCGTTTTTTTAATATTTAATTTGTAATTTTGGTTTTTAAATTTGGCCATGTATTTTCCTAATTACTCAAAGTTTTTTTGAAATTTTGACCAAAATATCAAAAATATGAAAAAATTGACAAATATCTTCTTTGTAAAAAATTTGATTCTCTCCAAAAAAGGTCTCTTATGATTTTTTGGATTTTTAAAAACCAACATAATTTCAAATTTTCAAATTTAAACCCGTATTTTTTTGATTTCTTAAGATATTTTTTAAAATTTCGACCAAAATATCAAAATATGATAAAATTTATCAGACTCTTTTTTGTAGACCACCAAATTTCCCCTAAAAAAGGTCTCTTACAATTTTTTTTACCACTCTCCTCATACTTACCTCACAATTTTAATTCTTTCAAAACTAATCATAACCCTGGTGAAGAATACTGATTGAAATTACTTTAAAAAACAATTTAATATCTAATAGAGGTATAGTATTTTGGTTTAGATCATTCAAATAATTTATAATTAGACTATTGCTACACCCAAACGTTAAAAAATCACTAAAAAATAAACAGTTAAACCAATTGCTTAGACCGCCGATATACAAACAAAAGAATTGAAAAAAAATCCACAAAATATTTTATTCATCAACATTTTATTCGCTCACTTTCAACAAGCTTAATAACAACAAATTCATTTGCCCTCAAACGAGAACATTTACAAACTATAATAATAAAAAAATATTCAAGAGTACATAGTTCCTCAACAGCTTAATTTCCAACCTAAAACTTAATCACTGCTTAGCAACAAAAATAAATATTAACTTAATTTGCGACATGAACTCCAAAGTAACAAAAACAACAAGAATTATTATCAACAAGCTCCCTAAAAAGCAATCCTAACCATAAGCTTAATCAATACTCTTCATAGTCTTCCTCATCATAACCTGCTTCGTCACCATCATCGCCTTCAATTTTCTTCAGCATTTTCTTCCACTGTGGCGTATCATCTTCTTCATCATCATAATCATCATAATCATCGCCATTACCTTCATAATTATAATCATTTTCCTCCTCCGCTTCTTTTTCTTGAACTTCATCTTCTTGATCATCATCTTGATCACCATCACCACCACCATCATCATTCGCTTGACCAGGCTCAACTTCAGTTTCATCTTCCTCTGGATAATCTTCTTCTTGATAATCATCTTCTTCTTCCCCTTCTCTACCAAACCCAGCGGAGTCATAATTATTCCCAATAGATTTCTTTTCCCCAAAGCCGATGCTAGTCTCTTCCTTCAATTGCTTGATGACATCATAATTGAGTTTCTTCGACAGTTTCTTCTCTTTGATAAGGTTCTCCAGAGCCTCCCCCGCGGAATTAGCGAGCTCCTTCTTCTTGGGGGCTTTCCGCTTCCTTGGTGGCGGCTTTCCCTCTTCTTCGTCCTTCAGCCTTTGTTCCTCTTTCTTCCTCTGGAGCTCCAGGTAGTCGGCGTTGCAAACAGTCCACAGTTCAGTCTTCTTCACCACGTCGGCGTCTTTTAGGATGTACTCGTCCAGTTCTTCGTCGTCCAGCCCCTCAAGGTCGATTTCTCCCGATTCGTTGTTGTACTTTTCGAACCTGCTCCCTTCTTTGACCACCCGGCGATCGAAGAAGTTGTTCGGGAGGCCCATAGAAGAAACGTCGGGACCCAATCCTCGGTCTTCCACGAAGTTTTCCGCTATTTCGCGGGTTGTACTTTCGATAAAGCGGTCCACCTCGGCGTCTTCTTCGTAATCGGCACCCAACATGGCGGCCAATGAGCGCTTTTTTGATCGTTGCTGTTGTTCGCTCAAGTATCTAAGGAAAAATTTTATTCAAGTTTAAACTTGAAGGTTTTTTTCAATAGATTTAATTTCTTTTTAATAGTCAGAAATTTTTTTATATTTTTTAATAATTTGAAGTTTAAAATAGTTCAGTCATAAATGCAAAATTTTAAGAAGTTTTGGAGATATGGGTAATAAAATACGCAGCACATGTGCTGTTAAAATTTGAAATTAATTTACCGTACCGGAAATGAGATAGTTGTAATTAAAAATGACATTTTAGCACAGGCAGTATCGATGGAGAGGATTTTACGATCGTTTTAAAAAACTGATATTTGTTAGAATAATATACTTAAAATAACCTGAAGATATTTTGAAAATCTTGACTATGTAATTCTTTATAAATTAGTAATGAACTGGCTAGTTAAACAAAAATAACCATTAGTAAAAACGAATAAGAGATAATGTGTGAGAAAGGCAGCACTAGCGAGTCATGACTGAACTACCTTAAATTTGTAGAAAAAATTATTAATTTTTATTGAAAAATTTTCTATTTTTATAGAAAAAAATTTGCATTCTTTCATATCGATCCCGTGATAAATGCCAAAAAGGCATAGAAAAATATTTTTTATTATTGCCAATCATTTTGCAAACACATTCTAAATTTAAAAAAAATCCCAAAAAAGCATATATTTAAAAATAAATTAATTTGAATCAAGAGAAAAATTCTTGAACCAATAGAATAATTTTCAAAATTTTTCTTATCTTGAATCAATTAAAATTAACTTAAGATAAAAGACTCAGTTATTGACACTTACAATTTGATTTTAATTAAATAAAACCAATCGGCTCTAATAAATTAATAAATATAATTTTTGAATTATAAATTTGAATATAATTGGTTTTTTCAGAACATTTTATCTTTTTAATTAGAATAAAATTGCAAGTGTCAATCAACTAGGCCAGTGTCAATAACTGGGTCTTTTACCTTAAATCATGAAAAATTTCTTAATTCAAAAATTTTTTAACTTAATGAAATTCTTCAAAATTATTTTCTTAATTCAAGTTAATTTTTTTGGTACATCTTTTTAGCTTCAGGACTTTGAAAATTTTGTGATCTCAAGCCAAAAAGACGGATAAATTTTTTTCATGATTTATTGAACATTTAATAATCAAAATCCTGAAACTTACTTATCAATTTCCTTCTGAAGATCCGTGAACTCCCCTCCGATATCCATGAAATCAGCCTCCCTCAAGTTCTCTTCCGCCTTCCGGGCCGCTTTGAACGCCGGGGGGTCTTCTTCCTGCGCGAAATCAATGGACTCAAAGTCATCCAGAGTCAAAGCACTAGCCGAAGTTTCTCCAAACTCCAGCAACCTCTTCCTCAAAGTCGACTCATGAATCTTGACCACTTTGATAATATCTCCAACAGTCCTATTAAAGTCATGCATGCGCGCCGCAATTAGCAAGGCAGCTCCACAAATTCCCGAAGGTCTTCTCCCGGTGTGAATATTGTCCTTCTTCATCCTGGCCACCAGTCTGAGCGCAGTTTTGGCTACCTTCATCTTCTCGGTCCCGAACTCTAGTTTCTCCGCAAATCGCATCACATACAAGCAAGGATCCACTGCTTTAATGCATTCATTGCCGCCGTCTTCGGAGTCGATGCTAATCGCTCCGTCCACGGAGTTCTCCAGGTACAGAGCTTTCACGAAGTGCAGGTACGTTCTGCCCAATTCGTAGACGTCGATCTGGGTGATGTCACTGATGTCAATCAAGAGATGCGGAGTTTTTTCGATTCTGCAGGTCAAGTAAATGCAACCAGCGTAGGTCAAGATCTGCTTCCGACCCCGGGTCAGGTTCCGGTGGAGGACTTGCTTGTAAAAATTCGTAGCCAGCTCCACTTGGTGACCCGACATGCTCAGCTGCTTGCAGAGATGCGCGATGTCTTTTCGCGCTCTGTACACAGTTAGCTCTCGCGATGATTGCCCGTGGAGCTGGCCAACTCTTGGAGCTCTCATGTCTGTACCGAGAAACTGACCAACTGCTTCGGATTGACCTGAGGCTGTTTGGGTGAACTCCACTTCGTTCACCAGCATCTGGTCTTCTGTTACCAGCCCGCAGTTGGTACACACTGTGTCTCCACGGGATGGATCTGTGTCCAGCTCTGTACATCCGCATTTTGGACATTTTGGTGGCATTTTTTTGCTGGAATAATAATTTGTGAGGGTGAAGAAAATTTTTTTAAAAGAAAATATCGGAAATTTTTTTGAATGGAAACTTTTTTAAGTTAGAATAAAAAATTTTAAATGAGAATCAATTTATCAGATATTTAATAATTTTTTTACTAATAAATTGTGGCAAAAAAAAATGAGAACAAAAAATTGACATGTAGAAATTTTAAAAAATTGTAAATGCAATTTTTTAGAAATAATTTTTTGGAGCAAATTTAGTTATTAAAAAATTATCAAGTAACAGCTGACTTTAATGTCATAAATTTTCATTGAAAATTTAGTTTTTTTAAATACGGAACTTGAATTTTTAAATATGTTTTATTTATATTAAACTTTAAATAAAATGAAAACATTTTAATTTTAAAAATCAAAAAAGGAATCATCAAAAATTTAGAAGTTTAATTTTTGGAGTTTTTTTTTTTACAGATAATGAAATTTTAATAGAATTAAAAGAAATTTAATGATAATAACAAATTTAAAAGAAAGTATTGAATTTAAACTTATAATTTTTTTTTTTTAATTAAATAATTATGGAAGTAAAAAATTAATATTTAAAAATTAAAAAAAAAAGAAAGAATTTTAATTAAAGATTGCTAACTTTTTATAAACACAATTTTTAAATTAGTTTTATTTAAATCAGCTGACATTTTAAAATTTTACTTAAATAAATTATTATTAAAAATGTCACTAAAGTTGACAGACATTAAAAATTTCTTTTTTAATTTTATAACAATAAAATTATTATGAAAAAAAATTCCACATAAAAATTATTATTGGAAATTTTTACAAGTTTTTTTTTTTTTTTTTTTTTTTTTTTGGT